GACTTTCATGCAAGAGAAATCATTTTTAAAACACACATAAATTTGAGTGGTCAAAATTTCTATTTTGAAAGTGCAAATAGAGATGGCACCCTGTACAGAGAAAGTGCAAGTGCTAAGACGTTGCCCAAGTACCAAATTACAGGGTCTTTCTGCTTCTCTAAAACCTGGGTGAAAACCCCAAGCCAAGTAAAACTTCTGTTTCTACCTTACTCAGTCTATGTTACTGTGATATTGGAAACATATGAAGGAGTGAGACATCCTAGAAACAGCTGTGTAAAGAGGTCAATGCCCTGGAAAGTACCCTGCAGGCCACATATTGAGAAAACTCGGGGGAACCAGGTCCCTGTGGGGAGGGAAGGAGGAACCGACAGCGCCTGTCCCACATGAACCACATACACAGAGCCCACATTCTCCCTAGAGACCACCCAGTCCCCACTGCACAATCGGGGGAGACGTGGAGCTACTGCCACACAGCTGGCCTGCTATGGCTCCGGGCTGAGAAGTCTCACCCAAGCAGGGAAGGGGCAGGACCTCGGGGGTCCTGGGTGCCGGTAAAACCCCCAACCCACGGGTCTGAGGGGACCGAGGGGAAGCCCTGTGCCAGCGCCAATATGGAGCCCACAGATGCCGGAGGCCTGTGTCCTCCTGGCCTTCGGCTCCGTTTTCCCCTCTCGGTACAACCAGGTCCACACACTCACCATGTCGCGGTTGTCAGCTTCCTAGGTGCCCAGTGTCCCCGGTGAGTGAAGGTGGAGAGCTGCAGAGGTCGACCTCGCTTGGGAGCCTCCTGGCGGCGGAGCTGTCTCCCAGGAGTTCACTCTGCAGGCAAAACTCTGAGAAGATTGTGACGTCCAGGCCCCGCGTGCTGATGCACTGTGGACGTCACCTTGCCTGATTGGACAGTTTGCCAGCCTTGAGTGCACGGAACGTCACAAAGCACGGAGCCAATCAGCGTCCCCCATAGCAAGGACCCCTAACTTCAAGTTGTCCTGGATGGGAACAGCGAGAGACAGACCTGGGTTCAGGTCTGAAATGGCCGCCCCTGGGCTCTGCCTCCCCGCGGCTGGAGGGCTCTCACCTCCGAGCTCCTGCTACCCACTGGCCTCGCCCTGGGTCCCCGTCCTTCTCCCTGCGGATGCTGCCTGGAGCTGGCGGTAACCTGTTGCAGTGAGTTACAGTTCTGTTTATCCGCTTCCGGCGCTTTCGTTTTCCTTGTATTTCTGCTCATTCTATTGGGTCGTTTGTATTATTGATTTGAATAACACTTAGATGTAACATAATTTACTCTTTTTTTTTCTTTTCTTCTGTTTTCTACTCTGCCTATTGATCTTTTATATTTTCTAGTTATTTCTTGCTGGCACTTGGTAATCTAATGGATTTTTAAAACATTGATCTTTCCCACAACATTAAATTCATTTATCAGTTTATTTGTTTTTAGATTTTATGGATTCTCCCTAAATAAATATCTCCAATATATTGGCAATTTATTGTTAAGAAATTGATCTTTACATCTTATTTTATTTCTTTTTGCTCTCCCCCTCGCCCCCAACTACTCCTCCAATAAGAAGTTGGCACTAGTGGACTTCCTGGTCTAGGTTTACTTCCAGGGTAAAAGCTGTCAATGATTCTGTATTAATCATGGTTTTCGTTGTAGGATCCTTTTAAAAATTTTGATCTGAATAAGAAAGCCATTGCTCTTTTTTACTATACTGCAAGCAGTTTTTAAAAATTACATGCTGATTTTTAAATGTTTTTGAACATTAAATTGTCATGTGATTTTCTCCTTGAATTTTTCACCTACCTGGAAAATTTACATGACTTGTTAAGAAATGTTAACCACCTCTTGTATTTTTTATTATATGTGACTTGTTATTCATTACATTTTCATATGCGATTTCATTTATTATACAAATACTAAGGATTTATACATCTGTATATGAAAGAGAGTTTATACTTAATTTATATTGAAAGTTCTGGTCAACTTTGCATCATTATCAATGTAATGCTGGCTTTCTTAAAGAAATCTGAAAATATGCTTTGCTTATTTATACTTTGATACATCTGAGAAATATAGGTGTTTTTTATTTCTTAAATGTTTGAAATATTTTGTGTTTCTATAACTGAAGTTTTGTTTCTCTAACTGTTTTATTGGCTGGTGGCCTTCAAACTGGGATTCAACTTGCTTGTTTTAATTTGGAGTTTTCCTATTTTATACTTCTTATATTGGATTTTAGGGAATTTATATTTGTGTTTGTGTTTGGGAATTTGATTTTCAAAGTATAGTGGATTTTTATCTCTAGTCAAGTTTTTATCCCAAGAGTTTTTTTTTTTTTTTTTTGACATGCAGAGTTAGATGGTGAGAGAGACAGAGAGAAAGGTCTTCCTTCCATTGGTTGACCCCCCAAATGGCCGCTATGGCCAGAGATACACCATTCCAAAGCCAGGAGCCAGGTGCTTCCTCTTGGTCTCCCATATGGGTGCAGGACCCAAGGACTTGGGCCATCCACCCCTGCCTTCCTGGGCTACAGCAGAAAGCTGGACTGGAAGAGTAGCAACCAGGACAGAATCTGGTGCCCCAACCAGGGCTAGAACTCTGGGTACTGGTGCTGCAGGTGGAGGATTAGCCTAGTGGGCTGCAGCGCCGGCCTTACCCCTAAGAGTTTTACAATATTTTTTTCTGATCTTGACAAAGCTCTTTTCTCTGTAAACAATTGTTTTAATACATGAAAATGGACACTAGTGTTACTTTTCCCTGTGTTTCCTCAATTACTTTTACTCATAGTTTATTAACTTTGTTAAAATTAAAAAGTATATCCTGGGCTGATGCTATGGCATAGTGGGTAAAGCCACCACCTGCAGTGCTGGCATCCCATATGGGCCCCAGTTCAAGTCCCAGGTACTCCCCTTCATATCTAGCTTTTTGCTATGGCCTGGGAAAGCAGTAGAAGATGGCCCAAGTCCTTGGGCCCCTGCACCCTTGTGAGAGACCTACAAGAAACTCCTGAATTCAGATAAGGGCAGTTCTTGCTGTTGCAGCCCTCTGGAGAGTGAACCAGTAGATGGAAGACCTTTTTCTCTCTCTGCCTCTGCCTCTCTGTAACTCTGCCTTTCAAATATATAAATAAATCTTAAAAAATATTTCCAGAAATGAATGAAAAATCTGTCCCGGTTGCTCCTCTTCCAGTCCAGCTCTCTGCTGCGGCCCAGGAAGGCAGTGGAGGGCGGCCCAAGTGCTTGGGCCCTGCACGTGCATGGGAGACCAGGAGGAAGCACCGGGCTCCTGACTTTGAATTGACTCAGCTTGCCGGCCATGGGGGCCATTTGGGGGTTGAACCAATGGAAGAAAGACCTTTCTCTCTGTCTCTCTCTCTCACTATCTAACTCTGCCTGTCAAAAAAATAAATCTATGAGTGTGTGTGTGTATATATATATACACATATATGCATATATTATTATATTATATAGTTATACAATATATGACATAGTTATATAGTTACATAACATATATAATAATTATATAATTTATAATAACATATAATTATATATTAGAATATATCACATTAGACTATATATTATATATCTTAACTATAATATAATATATAATATAATAACTATGTATAATATATATATAATTATCAGCAAACTCAGTAAGATGTTTAATTTATTTAAAAATTGAATAAATACAAATTAAAGTATGTGTTTTTCATCAGATTCAAATTATTGCAACTGTTGACATTTTGACATATATGAGGCAATGGCCATTGAATAGAATGTGAATTTGCAAAAGAAATTGGTGATGTGTACCAAAAGTCTTAGCAATACAGATTATGTTATTATATACTCTTGTCCCAAATAAGCACTTCTTAAAAAAATCTTTGGAAAAATAGGTTTCAGAAGTGTCTATGGAAACTTTTTCTTAGGGAAACTTGAGGATAGAAAAGTAAATATCTAACAGTACAGTATTCATTAAATAGTATATGATAAATCCATATGAAGAAACATACTGTTTAGCAATAAAATATATTTACATTATTAAGCAAAAAAAACCCTTGCAAAGCAGGATGTATGATATATATATATCTCCACTATTTTTCAAAAACATGCTTATTTATTTTTTAAATATTGATTTATTTATTTGAAAGAGTTACACAGAGAGAGCAGAGGCAGAAAGAAAGAGAGAGAGAGAGAGAGGTCTTCCACCCACTGGTTCACTCCCCAATTGGCCGCAATGGCCAGAGCTGCGCCGATCCCAAGCCAGGAGCCAGGAGCTTCCTCTGGGTCTCCCAAGGGGTGTAGCACCACTGCTTTCCCAGGCCATAGGAGAGAGCTGGGTCGGAAGTGCAGCAGCCAGGTCTTGAACTGCTGGCCATATGGGATGCCAGCATTTCAGGCCAGGGCATTAACCTGCTGCACCACAGCACCAGCCCCAAAAACATGTTTATACAGATACATTTCCTCAAGCCTGTGTTACGTGAGCGAAGCCATCTGTTTGACTCACATAAGCGTACCTTAAAAAGATTGTGGAAATGGAATTAAAAGTTAAATTTATTTTGGTTCAAAACATGTTGAAATTTATATATACATGGGTTATTTAAAAAGTTCATGGAAAACATGTATTATGAGAAATACATATTTCAAATGTTATGCACCAACATAAACTTTATCTTCTACTTCTATTTCCCATGAAATTTTGAAATCCATCAGAAAAACATGGTGTTCCTGGGAAATATCTGGCCATTATTTAATATATTGTAGAGATGCTAAATCTGCCTGAAGTTACTAAGAAAGAGTGTGGTCGTGATTAGACACCTTTTCATTTAACCTCTCTGCGTTGTAACCGATAGTCACATTTAAAGAAACTATTTCCAGGTGTTGTGCAATCTCTGATACCGAAATCAGAGCAGAGTGTCTTCTTGACGCGGTGGCTCACCGGCCAGAGCCCTAGGGCCAGTTGAAGGGGCTGCCCGCCAGCAGCGAGTCCCGGGTGAGCGTCTGGGCGGGCGTCTTGCCCACCAGGCGCAGGAAGTGGAGCTGCGCAATGAGGGGCGCCTGGAGCGCGCGCAGGGCCGGGCGCACTGGGGCTGGGACGGGTACTGGGCGCGCAATACTCCATGAGAGCCACCTGCGCCTGCTCCTGCAGCCTCTCCCTGCGCGCAGAGGCCGAGAGCGCCATGACATTGAGGCACCGGGCTCCACCGAGTCCCCCTGCAGGCGGCCCAGCTCCTCCACCTGCTCCTGGTCCAGGAAGGCCGCGCGCGCTTGGCCGGCAGTGGCGCCCTGTGCAGGCAGGGGCAGCGCTAAGAGCAGCCGCGCCGCCAGCGTTCTCACCTGGTCCATGCCCAGCGCCGCGCCGCCGCCACCTGCACCTGCCGCGCCCACAGCTGCACCGCGAACAAGCCAGGAGGGCTGCCGGAGGAGGAGGCCAGCGCTGCTGGGCAGTGATTATGGGATGCGGCCGCGCTGCAGCGCTGCGGGGCGGCAGGAGGGAGAGAGAGAAGGGCAGGGAGAAGACTGCCAGAGCGAGGCTCCCTCAGAGTCCCCCCACCCCAGCTCCAGGAGAGCCCGGGTGAGGAGGGGGCCTGGGGTCTTCCCCAGGTGGGACTGGGAGCTGGGGCCTCGCCCGCAGCAAGCAGGTGAGGTGGGAGGAGGGAAACCGAGGCAGGGAGGGCTGGCTGCCAGGCAGGGCAAATTAAGGAGCCTTAATGAGCCCGCCCACCTGGCCTGATCGAATCCATGAGCTCCAGCCCTAGGCCAGCCTCACGCAGGGCACATTACCAGCCCTGGAGGGGACTAGGGGCTGGAGGTGGGGCTGAGTCCTGCGGGGGTGGGGGTCAGCTGTGCAGTAGGAGTGGTCAAATGGGGCCCAAAAGTGCTGCCCTGGTTATAAGCCCCGCCTGCACCACTCCTCCCCCCCATCCTACCCCAGGGCCTTTGCACCTGCTCACCCCCCCTTCTTCAAACCCCCACCCTCAACTCTCCCACCTCCAGCCCAGGCTGGGGCGTGGGGTTCAAATCCCACCCACAACTCCCTCTTTAACACCAACCCCCGAATTAACAAATCTGCTTTAGAGCAGTATTGGCCATGGAGGAAGGGCTACCCTGGTGGCAACTGAAGCCATGGGCTATTTACTGAGGGCCAACTGTATGCAGGGACCCTGGGGCACAACAGTGCACAAGACAAAGAGAGTCCCTGGAGAAGTCATTGGGTTCCAAAGCAAAGTAAGGGGTTGTGAGCTGTGATGGTGGGAGGCCGCGCATGGGGTGGGGGATGCAGCACGTGGCTGTAGGCACGCCCACCTGAGGGCCGGGCCAGCGGGATTTCAGATCAGCCACGTGAGAAGAGGGGGCACAGGTGAACCCCCCCAAACTGAAGGGAGTGGCTTTTCCAAGGGGCTCTGAGCCGACTTTATCAGCTTCCCTCACAGACGCAGTGAGGGGGGAGGACTTCGAAAGCGCGAGAGACTGGGGTCAGACCCTGGGAAGAACCGGCAGACAGAAAGCAGGTATGGGGTGCGCATTTATCCTGAGGCTGGAACCCCACCCCCACCCCTACCCCGAGACCACTGCCGCCCCCCCCCCCCCTTGTGTGGAGCCTGGAGAAACTGCAGGGCATTGGCGTTTAGGGCCACGCTGCTTGGACTGTGTCTGCCCTGGGCCAGGCTGGGGCTTCTAGGGGAGGGAACAAGAGTGGGGTCCCCATGGGCTCAGGCTGCCCAGCTCCTGCCTTAAGCAAACAGAGGCAGGGGTGGGGGCAACGGAAACCAAATAAATGTGTGTATGTGCGTGTGTTGTTTGTGCGTGTGTGTGCATGTATATGTGTGTCCATGTATGTGTGTGTCTGTGTATGTGTGTCTGTGTATTTCTTCAGGACGCAGTGGCCAGGCCTGGGCAGGGGACCAGGCCCTGGCCACAGCTGTAATTGGATTCCTGCGCCAGTACAGGGTGTAATGGCCCTGGTCTTGTGGTTAGCAGGTGCCAACCCCGGGCCCCACCGGCCGACTGCAGGGAGGATGGGGGCCGCTCACCCTCCTTCCGCAGGCCTCCCCCACCAGCTGCAGCGGGCTGGGGTGCCATTCACCCACCTACCGCACGCCCCCCCTAGGCTGCAGCGGGGCTGGGGGCCACTCACCCTCCTTCTGCACAACCCCCTGGAAGCACTTCTTGAGCCGGCAGGACTGGCACTGGTCACGCTGATGTTGGTCCATCTGACAGTCCCAATTGGACCTGCAGGTGTAGCAGTGTTAGGAGCCGATTGTCTAATGAATATACAGGTGTGTGTTTTTAAAGCCTGATAATTTTAGACATAACTTTCTCCAGGTTTTGTATTTCTATATTTTAGTTTTCATGTATCCATTTGAAAGGCAGAGAGTAATTCTACTGTGTGTGTGTGGCAGGAACCCAATTCCTTGAGCCCTCCTGTGCTGCCTCCCAGCGTCTGCATTAGCAGGAAGTTAGAAATGGAAACAACACTCAGAAGCCCTCATTCCATTGTAGCAAGGTTGTCTCAAGGGGATTCTTAACCACTTGGCCAAATGCTCGCTCCTGCTTACTACTTTTTAAACACCACTCTCTTACATTACATAGGCCCAGGATCACAAAAATTACCAATTCCAATGTTGGCAAAGCCAATGAAAGTGGAGCTCTTACAAAAAAAAAAAAAAAGAAAGCCTAACGAATTATTTAATTAGAAGTATTAGCTTGAATAAAATAATAGTTTGAGTTTCATGTTTCATCAGGTTAGATAAGTGATGGATTTTCAATATCAATATACACTGAACATAAAAAAGATGTAAAAATATTTTCAACCATCAATATTACACATTTGCAAAAGCAGTGGATGCTTGAATAGTTCTACAAAAATGTGTTCCAAAATCATGTGATTAGTGTTTAAATAAAGGAAATGAATGTTTATCTCAATGAACCATTTCCAAAAGGGCAGAAATACAAAATAAAGCCCCTAACATGAACTGGATATGACAATAATTATCTTTGAAAATTCATTTTGTTTTAAGAACTGTTTCTGAAAACTATATTTTTTAAAAAGTAAACAATATTTTAAAGGGGAATTACTATCCATGATATAATAAAATATTTTCTGGAATTCTTGATCACAGTTTGAAGCCAGATTTAATTTAAAAAGTTACTAAAGGTGGGAAATAAGGCATACAAGAAAAACTTTTTAATTTTTAAATGTATCTATATCTTTAAGCATATCAAATGTCAAAATGAGATTATTGAGAAAACACATGGTAATAGAGAATTATTAGATTTATTTCAAAAATTCTTATTGAATTTTTATAGGCTCTCAAAACTTGATGTAGCAATCTATTTTTTCTGGGACCACTTTTGTTCCTTTGTCCACTCCTGTTAGCATTATTTGGCAAAAGTTGAACAGTGAGGTACACGTGAGAGAATTATTACTCAATTTTCCTGGCCAGTTTTAGGTAAGAAATCAGGAAACAACCACAACCACCACAACAAACACCACTTTCTCAAGAGCATTTGCAGATCAGTTCTGCAGACTTCAAACGTTTTCAGGTTTGGAATGTTTAGACTACCGCTCTCATGCTAAATTCTCTGTGGCTTTCTTTCTATTTCTGAATTGCTTTTTACAAACAGAATGCAGCATAAGGGACTGACAGCAAAATACACTGTTCCCCAGATGGTTCAAATAATAACTATGCCAATTGTTTGTATTTATATTGCAAACATCATATTTTCACCTAAGTATCACTTACCTCAAATGTTAACTGAATATTTTTATAGAATTGTTTTTTAAGATTTATTTTCTTTGAAAGTCAGAGTTATTCTACAAAAAGAAATAGATATCAATACAAGCATAATTTTTATTCCTTCAAGTGATTGATAGAAAAGTATGTTTTGTACCTTCAATTTGAGCAGGATCTCCCCAAAATTAAATTAGATAGATTGTTTACCAGTGTGATAAAATGTATCTCACAAAGAGAAAATATGATACAAAAATATAATTTACTTTATTTCTTGAATACTCATATATGTCTTGCTAGACTAAGTTAGAATAGAATCAATATATTTTTGTCAATCTAATCATTCTGAAACAAAATCGAATAATGAGTAATTTGGAAATGTTTATGAATTAGTTTTCTGTTTATTTCTATGGAGGAAGGAGGAATGATGGTAATGTTTCCAAATTCTTCTGGTTAAATGTGGAACAGTTAAAAAATAACATGATATAGTTGTAAGTAGGTCTTAGGCATCCAATCCATGTGCAACCATGCATGACACAAAATGTATTAAGTTAATATAATCATTGACTTTCTCTCTCTCTCTCTCTCTTTTTTTTTTTTTTTGACCGGCAGAGTGGACAGTGAAAGAGAGAGAGAGAGAGAAAGGTCTTCCTTTTTCCGTTGGTTCACCCCCACAATGGCCAGGAGCCAGGTGCTTCTCCTGGTCCCTTAGGTGGGTGCAGGGCCCAAGCACTTGGGCCATCCTCCACTGCCTTCCCGGGCCACAGCAGAGAGCTAGACACTAGGAAGAGGAGCAACCAGGACAGAACTGGTGCCCCGACTGGGACTAGAACCCAATGTGCCGGTGCTGCAGGTGGAGGATTAGCCTGTTGAGCCACGTCGCCAGCCTATAATCATTGACTGTGAAATAGCGGATGGAAGACCTCTCTCTCTCTCTCTCCCTCCCTCTTTCTCTCTCTCTCCCTCTTTTTCTCTCTCTCTGCCTCTCTGTAACTCTCTGCCTTTCAAATAAATAAATAAATCTTTAAAAATATTTGATGAGAACTGACATATTATTACTGCTTACTACTCATAAGGATCACTACATGCATCATGTTACAGCATATGTGCTACATGTGCTTTATTTCTAATACACTTTCCCCTCATCTTGTGAACATTATTTCTATGTTATAAATGAGACAATTGAGGTAAAGTTTGCATGAACATGACACAGATGGAAACTCTAACCCCAGGATTTAATCTGACACCAGGATTTAAACACCTACGTCTTTATCTGGCTCCAGAATTGGGGTTTGTTTTTTTTTTATTTGAATTCTATCTCAAACTCCTGTTTTTAGAGCATTCAGGATAAGAAGGTAAAGTACAGGATTGTGAAATGTGTGAGCACCATCCATATGGTGACTCTCATTCATGTAATTCCTCCACTTGCTGTGACTGGGTTGGTAAATGGGGTGCTATTTTCCTGCCCTGTACTTTAGGTAATTACACTACTCAGCCTAATCACCGTGTGAGCTTGACAGTGCAGGTTACATTAGATCTGTTGCACATGAGCTGGGTACTACTCTTGGCTTCACTTCTGAGTTTTTGTGTGAATTTGGGAAAACTACGCTTTTCTCTGTCTCAGTATTCATATTTCTGATATTGGAATAATGAGGCTTTCAAGATTCTCCATAGGGATATTTTCTCCATTGACCATTCCAGATTGGGAAAAAAAAAAAAAAACACGTAAGTCATCATCATAATCACTGTCACCAAGACTGAAATGTTCATGCAAAATAATCTTGACAGGAAACAAAAAATGAGAGGAATAGAGTTATTGAAATCCATGCTGATGTTCTTCTCTAGGAGAGGAGGTACAGTAATTCTGTAATACCAGCATCCATCTGTCATGTGAAATTTCACGTAAGAAAATTCTAAGAAGAAGGTGCGGATTTTAGGAATACCACTTTGTATTTAAAAGAAAGTATGTCCGTTGGTTTTCTTTCTCACCATATGACATTTTACCATTTTATTTTTAAAAATTATTTTGTTTTTATTCATTTGAAAGGCAGAATGAGACAGTGAGAGTGAAAGAGATTATCTTCCATCTGTTGGTTCACTCCCCATAACCACAGGAGCCAGGAGTGGGCCATACCATTGTCAAGAGCCAAGAACTCCACCTCTGTCTCCCACCTGGGTGGTAGGGACCCAAGTAATTCATCTATCAACTGATGCCTCCCAGGGTGAGCATTAGCAGGAAGTTGTATAGGAAGTGGAGGTGTTACTGGAATCCAGACACTTCACTACATGGGCATCCCAAACAATGGCTTAACAGGTGCAGCACAACAAATGACTTCCATTTCAATTTTTAAAATAGACATCATAGTGGAAAATAAGAGCCACATACCTATAAATATTAATACACATTTACACATAAATATATGCATATACATTTATATACACATATTTATATGGGGAAAACCTTTGATGATTTTATAGTAATTGTAATGCCTTATATACTATTTTCTTTGAGAGTTACACTGCATATTTGATACCAAAATTCCACAAAGTTAGTAATGGAACAAAAAAGGCAACAGATACATAATGGACACATCTTATAGAAAATGGAAGGACAAGTACAGAACTCCAAAAGTCAACACATTTACATTTCCATTCAAATATACTAAGAAGATTGGAGTGAGTTGAAATAAGAGGAAAATTTGGAGGAGACATGTTTCTTTATCTTCATCTCAAGATGAGCAAACACAATCTGAAAAAATAATTCCAGATTATAAATATTTCTATTAAAATAATGACATCATGGTAGATTTATACATAAAAATTTTTATAGTTCAAGTTAGTATGACTATTAATCCAGCTTCATTGACTGGAATGAAGAAAATTATTTTTCTACTTTTGATGGCAGCTGAAGTATGAAGTGTCTTCAAACTGTTTAGGGAAAGAGTGTGTTTTGAAAAAAATTATTCACTGTGTTCAAAACTTTTTGCACCAAGATAAACTTTTAATTTTGTTTTCCAGAAACTTTTTGAAATTCCTTTGTATATTCATCCAAATGCCTAAGACTTCAGCTTTTCAAAATAAGTATTCTAATGATTTTTAGTGAAAATATACAAGCATGGTACATACAGTATGCTGAATTTACAAACCATATAAGCTATATAGAATGAAAAGAATCCATGTTTTCTTGATGACTTGTGATCTCTATTTATTCATCCATTCACAGGTTCTAAGATGTTACTTAATGTCCAGGTACCAGTACTGTGTAGAACCATGATGAGAGGGATTGAGTGAGGAATGCACAGAAAATAAAATGCAGACCTTGCCCTTAAGGCATTCCCAATGAATAAATGGGAGGCTTGTAAACAACAGATGGTTGTTGGCAATGCATGAGGCTTTCATCAGTGATGAGAATTGTAAAAGGTTAGCTCCATACTCATATTCTACAGAATGTTCCTAAACCATTCACTGTTCTGTGAGTGTCATTAAAAGTCCCCCATCCAAGTGGTGGCCTAAAACTCTATACTGTTGAGCTGTCACATGACTGTGACCACAGAGATTTTCCCTCTGAGAATCACACATCCTTGCCATTGTTAGCATCCTGTGTGCCTTCCACATTTTTTTTACTCCAGTAACCTAGGCTAGAACCTTGGGTTCTAGAAAGTTGACTTACCAAATATATTACATACAGCAAAGCAAATAGACTATTGAGCATGGTACATGCATTTTATGAGTGCTGATGTTGATTTTATTTGGGGTTCAAGTCAATGATATCTTCTGATCTGCAACTTTTCTGAAAAGTGCTGAATAAAGGAGGGTTTTTAAATAATTCCCTTTTTTCAAGACTGGATTTAAGGTAAGACTGTGTAAAATGTGTCATGTTATGGAGTGTGATTAACAAATTAGATAAAATCAAATCCAAATAGGAATAATGTAGAGAGGTTGTTATTCATGAACTCAAAAATACACGAGCCAAACCTTCTAAGTTATTAATATCTGTGCATGCAGGTGGTATTTTTCAACAAAATCTGCCTAATAAAAATAACTAAACCATGAAATAGATTGTTATAGTGGTAAATATTTAAAATCCCCAATTATAGACTTTACTGTTCAGAACATACTACCATGAAGTCTCCTTAGTCAATTAAGTATTTAATATTTACATTGTTTAGATGATCCAATTACTCCTCAAGTAAATAGAAAAATATGTGTTCTCAATCTTGACTCTATTTAATGAAGAAAGCAGCCAAGAGAATTTTGCTTTGAAATTTGTTTCAATGAGTACATTAGAATTTGAGAAACACATTTGCATTTAATGTGTATAATATCTGGTCTCCTAGGTTTACATTAGATTAGAGAAGAAAACAAATTATATATGAATCTATAGTGTCTCATAATTTCCTAAGGTGGCCACAGTGAATTAGGTTAATGGGAAGCTGAATCTATATAATGTCATAATCCATATTTATATTGTACCATAAATGTATGACTTTTGTAGAAACAAGCAACCATAACACCAAACATCTGGATGAAATCTGAAAATTTCAGTGACATATCCAGATATCTCTACACATCTGGAATTTTTAGATTTAATGTTCCAACTGCTTCCATTTTTGTCTGGGCACTTGAAACACTGTAGACACTGTCTAACAAATATTTATTCACATCATAAAGATGTGAAAACATGCAAAGAATCATTGTACAAATACAATTTTCAGATTTAATCATATCCCAGTGACTAAAGCAGCTCTGGCAGTTAATGTAGACAACCCAATGTCAACAGGCCCTGCAGACTTAACCAAGTAGTTCAGTGGCAAAGTGGGGAGTTGAAGTGAAGAATTCGAACCAAGAATGCTTTAAGGTAAGGATGAAAAAGAAAGAAAAGAAAGCTTCTCCACTTCTCCTGCCTGCAAGGATAGACATATGTCTGCCTGCCAGTGGGGTCCCTCAGCTAGTTCCAAGCCACCAGCAAACTCTGCTCTGCAGATCTGCAGCTGTGCATTGAGGTTGGGGGTGCTTGATGGAAGGGGTATAGGACAGAATACATTGCATGACTAACAATTGAAACCCTATTTATTGGGCTGCCTCTTGCCTTTATCATTGATTTTAGCACAAAGCTGGTGATAGATGAATCATTTTTCTGTCTCTATAGTTTTCAGATCTGAAACTTGTTTTCCCCTTTACAAATCAATCTTGTAAAACAGGCTCTTTGATATAGTCATACAAGTTTTACTATCCCACTTTTTTTGCATTTTTATTTATTTCAAACACACACATACGGAGAGGGCAACAAAGAGGGATCTCCCACACAGTGGATCACTCTCCAAATGCTAGCTACTGCCAAGGCTGGGACAGGTTGAACCAGGAACAAAGAATTAGTCAGTATATCCCAAATGTGTGGCAGAGACTCAAAAACTTGAGATTTCACCTGCTGCCTCCCAGGATGTGCATTAACCAGGAAACTGGAATCAAGAATGGAGGTAGGACTTGAACCCAGTCACTCTAATTTGAGATTGCAGGTGTCCCAAGCAGAGTCTTAATCTCTACACCAAGTGCCTCCCCCCCCCATGCTTTTAAGAAAACTGAATACTCACTAGCTATTGTGAGCCATGGATAAATAACATGTTGAAAAATAAATAACTCTTAGGCTGGCGCTGCGGCTCACTAGGCTAATCCTCCACCTTGGGGTACCCGCACACCAGGTTCTAGTCCTGGTCGGGGCTCCAGATTCTGTCCCGGTTGCCCCTCTTCCAGGCCAGCTCTCTACTGTGGCCAGGGAGTGCAGTGGAGGATGGCCCAAGTGCTTGGGCCCTGCACCCAATGGGAGACCAGGAGAAGCACCTGGCTCCTGGCTTCAGATCAGCGTGGTGCACCAGCCACAGCACACTTGCTGCAGTGGCCATTGGAGGGTGAACCAATGGCAAAAGGAAGACCTTTCTGTCTGTCTCTCTCTCACTGTCCACTCTGCCTGTCAAAACAAAAAAATCAATAACTCTTGTTGTGACAAATAAAATTTGATGTAAGAAACATTAATCTCTTGATATTATTAAAACCAATCTTATGAAATCTCATTCTTCTTTCCAAAAATGAACCAAAGTAATAATTCATGTGATGAGCAGGAATTTGGAAAACATTATGTTGAGTGAAATAAGCCAATCCCAAAGGGACAAATACCACTTGTTCTCCTTGATAGGTGACAACTAACTGAGCACCAAAAAGGAAACCTGTTAAAGTGAAATGAACACTATGAGAAAAGGTGACTTGATCAGCCCTCACCCTGACTGTTGATGAGCAGCTTAATATGTTATCCCTCTTAGTATTTTTTTTGTTTGTTCTACTTAATACTTTTGGTTGAATACTGTAATCAATACACAATTCTTCTTAAGTGCTGAAACTTAACTGAAAAGTGATCGCTGTTAAATATAAGAGTGGGAATAAGAGATGGAAGAGATGTGCAATTCGGGACATGCTCAAGCTGACTTACCTCAAACGGTAGAGTTAGAAACATACCAGGGGATTCGAATTCAATCCCATTGAGGTGGCATGTACCAATGCCATCTCACTAGTCCCAGTGATCAATTTCTGTTCACAATTGATCGTAATGATAGGACTAAGAACCAAAGGGATCACATAAACAAGAATAGTGTCTGCAAATACTAGCTGATAGAATCAAAAAGGGAGAGAATGATCCAACATGGGAAGTGAGATACACAGCAGACCCATAGAATGGCA